ACAATTCTAAACTTTGTTAAATGGCTTTGCAAAGCATCTTTTATCAGACTTTCCAAAACTTTCCACACAAATGATGTAAGACAAATAGGCCTATAATTACTGGGACAATTTTTATCACCTCCCTTAAAAAGATTAGTGATATTAGCAAACTTCCACTCCTCTGGTACCTGCCCACAATTCAAGGACTTACAAAAATAGTAGTGTCTCACATATCCAATCTTTAACCTCTTTCAAAACCTTTGAGGAAATATTATCTGGCTCAGGAGCGTTATTGTTCTTTAAGCTTTCCAATTTTTTCTTAATAAGTTCAGAATTAATGAAGCCATCATGTTCGATCTTGTTTCCATCTATCAACTGTTCAAGATCTGGAATACTCTTAAATCTTCGTTAGTACAAACTGAAGAAAAAACAAAATTTAATAACCCAGCCACCTCATAATCATCAGATACACTTCTTTCTTTATCATCCTAACATTTTGTTTACCCTTAATGTATTTAAAGAAATCCTTACTGTTAATTTTGACATTTTCAGCCAACCTTTTCTCAAACATCCTTTTTGATGTCCTAATTTTTCTGTTTCACCAACTTTCTTGATCTTCTATAATCTTCTAAATCTCCCGTCATAACAGTCAATTTATATTTCTTAAATTTGTGATGCTTTTCTTCAATTTATTCTCTTATACCCTTTGTGAGTCAACCTGTTTTTCACTTGCAGCTACCCTTTTATTTCTATAAGGAATATATTTACCCTGAATACTTAAAGAATTTTCCCCATCTGAAAAGTATCTCCGAATATCTCAGCTGTCCAATTAAATGGTTTCACACTTTAGTAGAGTGGTTTCCAAATTTTTTTTCACATACGACACCCTAACCCACTTACCTTGAATTGCACAACACCACTGCTGCCACATGCAGTTTTTTTTTAATAGTGTTTTTAATGTTCTTAGTTATTCTTCGTTTGGTGAAACTCTCGCGACATCGCTAGCAACTTGCTGCGACACACAGTTTGGAACAACTGCTTTAGTATCATCTGCATTTTATATAGAAACAATTTTAATATCATTAATGTCAGCATTCCAAGAACTGTGTGGATAACCCCTTTTTTCAGTGTACAAATATTTACTCAACGATAGAAAGTATTTTATTCATGACATCTCAGAAGCAGCCTGGTGCGAGATTATTCACGAGAAAACAAGTAAAAGTTTCGAACGCTTTAATGACCCATATAATAAACAATGATAACTTATCTATACTTACTCTCGATCCCCCATATAATAAACAATGAAAACTTATCTATACTTACTCTCGATCCCCCATATAATAAACAATGATAACTTATCTATACTTACTCTCGATCCCCCATATAATAAACAATGAAAACTTATCTATACTTACTCTCGATCCCCCAAATAATAAACAATGATAACTTATCTATACTTACTCTCGATCCCCCATATAATAAACAATGATAACTTATCTATACTTACTCTCGATCCTTTTAATCCTCATGGCCCAAGGAGTTAGAGTAACAACAAGATTTGCCATCCCTCTTTCTAATCTCTGGAACCACTAGAAAAATCACAAAACGTGATTCTAATACACAGATTAAGCATAATTAACTAATACACCCGGGGACATTAACAAGGTAATCTCTGGAACCACTAGAAAAAGCACAAAACGTGATTCTAATACACAGATTAAGCATAATTAACTAATACACCCGGGGACATTAACAAGGTAATCTCTGGAACCACTAGAAAAAGCACAAAACGTGATTCTAATACACAGATTAAGCATAATTAACTAATACACCCGGGGACATTAACAAGGTAAAATAGTAAAACTAGGAACATTAAGAGTCTTGAAGAGCTAGGGAAGGTTTTTTTTTGTTTTT